TTAAAAAATATGGTATGGAACACATGCCTTCCATTTTTCATTGCTTTAAAAAAAGGCTATGGAGAAAGGTAAAGCTGCTTTTTGTGGTCTTCTTTTTGTCATACTCTGCCATTGGTTTTCTAATCCCATCAGCCTCTGTTTCTAAGTAACAGCCAAAGCTCTGGTAGTAAGCAGTGGCAGTCTGGGCCAAGATAAGCCCATGTGGTTTGGTGTTATTTAGTACCATCCATATGGCCAAGCTGAAGAGAGTCCCAGGAGGGGTGTTAACACTCAGCATCCCAACAACCAATCCCCTGGGAGGTTGCATGAGATAGCCCCTGCAGCCTGTTCGTGTGTGAATTTTGATCAGTTTTTCCATATTTAATGAAGGTTGATACTGTTTATTATTACTAGTGATTGACTGCTCATGGCTTCTTTCAATAATTGATAAGTACTCTCTCTTTTGACCAATCTCCCATTTTGTCATGGAGCCAATGAGGGTGGGGAGTGGGGGTTGGTGGGAGAGAGAAGTGTAATTGTATCGTGCAGTTAATATTCGATTTATTGGCCCCATAAGATGCATAAATTCTCTGTTTTCTCTCCACAGGAAGTTCTGCAGACATTGACCAAGTTTTGTTTCCCTTTCTATGTGGACAGGTACTGTTATCATTGCAAATTTTACGAGATAAAGATGCCATAAAATTGCTCTGGAAAATAACAAAGAAACATGGTTGTGTTTTGTGCCTTTAAAATCTCATTTAAGGCAGCCCCCTCGCACATAAAAATGAGGAAACTGTTTTTATTTGCCTGTTAAGCAGGTATTGTAATTTACCACAGGTGCTGTGAATCATAATTCTGTTCAGTGTCATCATAATTCTGCTATTTTCTTGAAGTTGAAAGCAATGAAGTGCCTGAGAGAAGCTGTAAATTAGATCTTCACTTCAGCAGTGCTGAGCCATGGGTGGTTTGTGAAGGTTACACATACCAAACTGGTTTCATGCACTTCAATAATATTCATCAGACTTTGGCACTGTTAATTATAAGTTAACGAAGAAAGGGCATGATGCTATTTTAAAATTCATTGGGAGTAATTTGTGAATATTTTAGTTTGAAAGCCTACGTTCTGTTATAGTTATACTTTGGCCTTTTGGAATGAAATTAGCCTTAAATTTACAAAATAAACTAAAATTTTGCATTAAAATGCTTAAAACCGTTTTACTTAAGAACTGGACGCAGTGTTTTGATTTTGAAGAACTAAAGTATTTACTTACTTAATAGCGCCCTCTGTAGATATTTTCAGAAATGCTTTGCTATAGAATGTTTTTGTCAGAAGGAAGTGTCTTATTATTTATTATTTTACATGTATTATTGAGGGGATTGAGGTGTTAATGTGGGTTGTGAATGCTGTCTATTGAGTATACTGAAAATATCTTTCAAAGTGTAAACAGGCTTAATTTTTTCATGACTGATATATTAATATAGAAGGCAAAATTCTACTTTTGAAGGCTTAATTTTTATTAATCACCAGGGATCATATCCAAGAAAATTCTTGTATAAGCCACCTGAGATCTACAAAATGTGTATGAAGTAATTAGTATTGTGTCATCCCCAACTCCCAAGATCTGGTACCCGCCCTATTTCACGCTCACTTTTATAATGAAATTGGTATCCTTATTAGAGTCATAGTGCTACAGCACAGATACAGGCCTTTTGGCCCAGACTGGCCTGTGCCTACCAAAATGCCCATCCATGCTAAGCCCATTTCCCTGCACTTGGCCCATATCCTTTTAAACCTTTCCTATCCAAGTATTTGTCCAAATGCCTTTTAAATGTTCCTAATGTACCCACCTCAACCACTTCTGCTGGCAGCTCATTCAACATGCATACCAGCCTCTGTGTATAAAAAGTTCCCCCACAGGTTCCCATGTATTCTTTCCCCTCTTACCTTAAATTGATGCCCTCTAGTCCTCGATTCCCGAACCCTGGGAAAATGACCCTATCCACCCCTCCCATGATCTTATACACTTCTATGAGATCCCCCCCTCAGTCTCCTACACTCTAAAGTAAAAAGGCCTATAACTCAGTCCTTTGAGCCCTGGCAACATCCTTGTAAATTTCTTGTGCACTTTTTCCAGTTTATTAATATCCTTCCTATAGCAAGGTGACCAAAACTGAACACACTACTCCAAGTGCAGCCTCACCAACGTCCTGTACAACTGCAACATAACTTCCCAATTTCTATACTCCATGCCCTGACTGAAGGCCAGTGTGCCAAAAGCCTCCTTCACTGCCCTGTCTACCTGTGACTCCGCTTTCAGAGAACTGAGCACCTGAATTCCAAGGTCCCTCTTTTCCACTACATTCCTTAAGTCCCAACCATTCACCATGTAACTCCTACCTTGATTTGAATTTCCAAAGTACAGCACCTCACGCTTATGTATTTAAACTCCATTTGCCATTTCTTGGCCCAATTCCCCAGCTGATCAAGATCCTGCTGCAATTTCTGATAACTTTCCTCACTGTCCATGGTACTGCCTATTTTTTTGTCATCTGCAAACTTACTAATCATGCCTTGTACATTCTCATCCAAATCATTGATATAGATGACAAACAGCAATGGGCACCAACCTTTGAGGCACACCACTAGTCACAGGCTCCAGTCTGACAAATATCCTTCCACTATTACTCTCTGCTTCCTACCATCAAGCCAATTGTATATCCAATTGGCCAGCTCTCCCTGGATTCCATGCGACCTAACATTCCAGAGCAGCCGACTATGTGGAACCTTATCAAAAGACTTTACTGAAATCCATATAGACTATGTTTACCGTCCTGCCTTAGTCAACCATCCTGGTCACTTCTAACAAATTTGTGAAGCATGATCTCCCATGCACAAAGCCATGCTGACTACTCCTATTCAAGCCCTGCCTTTCCAAATGCATGTATATCTTGTCCCTCAGAATCTTCTGAAGTAACTTACCTACCACAGATGTTGGGCTTACTGGTCTACATTTCCCAGGATTTTCTTTGCATCCCTTCTTGAATAAGGGCCCAACGTTCGCTACCCTCCAGTCTTTTGGGACCTCACCGTGGCTGACGATGATGCAAATATATCAGCCAGGGCCCCTGCAATTTCTTCTCTAGCCTCTTTCAGGGTTCTTGGATCGGGACCAAAAGACTTATCCATTTTCATACTGTCTAATATATCCAACCTCTACTGTGATATGGACTGTCCCCAGGATATTGCCACTAACTTTGCTAAGTCTTCATGTCTTTCTCTACAGTAAACACAAAGGAGAAATATTCTCTGAGGGCCTCTCCCATCTCCTGCGGTTCCACACATACATGTCCACTTTGATCCTTGAGGGGTCCTGTTCTCTCTCTCTAGTTATTCTTTTTCCCTTTAATACACTTGAAGAATCTCTTTAGATTCCTTAATCTTCTTAGCCAAAGCTATCTCATGCCCCCCTTTTCACCCTCCTGATTTCATCCTTCTGTAAACCCCTGTATCCACTATATATCTTCAGGGATGCCATGATCCCAGCTGCCAGTGCCTGAGCCACGCCTCCACTTTTCTGGTCAAAGCTTCAGTATCTCTTGTCATCTAGGGTTCCCTACTCCTGCCAACCTTGGCCTTCACCCTCAAAGGAACATAAAGACTTTGAACTGTAGCTATCACGCTTTTAAAGGCCTCCCACTTGCCAGAGGTTCCTTTGCCTGCAAATAAATCACTCCAATCAACCCCTGCAAACTGCTGTCGAATTCCATGAAAATTTGCCTTGCCCAAATGTAGAACTTGAACCTGTGGACCAGTTTTGCTCCTCTCCTTAACTATTTTAAAATTAATGGAACTATGGTCACAGGCCCCAAAGTGTTCCCCCACTGTCACATTAGTCACCTGTTCTGCCCTATTTGTCAAGAGTAGTTCGAGTTTTGCCCCTTCCTGAGTAGGGCCGTCTGTATACTGCTTGAGAAAACTTTTCTGAACACACTTAACAAATTCCACCCCATCTAAACTCTTAATGCTATGACAGTCCCAGACTATGTTAGCAAAATTTAAATCCCCTACTATGATAACCTTATTGCTCCTGCAAGTCTCTCCAGTAACTCACCTCCTAAATCCCCAAAGCCTGTTCACCATTAAAACGCACAAAGTATGGGGAGAGAAGGGGTGAGGGCGGAAGTGCGGGAGATGGGTCGGACCAAGTTGAGGGCTCTTTCGACTACGGTGCTGGGAAATCCTCAGTTGAAAAAGGTTGACACTTCGGAGGCTCCCTTGTCAATGTTGGCCTCGTCTGAACATATGCGATGGAGACGGAGGAACTGAGAGAATGGGATGGAGTCTTTATGGGAAGCAGGGTGTGAGGATATATAGTCCAGGTAGCAGCAGCAATAGAGTCCGCAACAGCGACAGGGTTTCCCTTGTCCTTACCTACCATCCTATCAGCATCCACATCCAGAAGATCATCAGATGCCATTTCTGCCACCTCTAGCAAGATGCCACCAGCAGACACACATTCCCCTCCCCTCCCTTGTCCGCCTTCTGCAGGGACCGTTCCCTCCGGGACACCCTGGTCCATTCTTCATTCACCCTCAACACCTCCTCACAGCCCTACGGCACCTTCCCTTGCAACCGGTGAAGGTGCTATACGTGCCCATTTACCTCCTCCCTCCCCACTGTCCAAGTGCCTAATTGTATCTTCCAGGTGAAGCAACACTTCACCTGCACTTCTCAGAATCTAGTCTGCTGCATTCACTGCTCACAATGTGGTCTACCCTGGATTGGGGAAATGAAGTGTAGAGGGTGACCGCTTTGCAGAACATCTACATTCTGCTCGCAAAAAAGACCCTGAACAGCAACTCATATTCCGCTTCGGAACCCTGCAGCCCAGTGGTATCAATGTGGACTTCACAAGCTTCAAAATCTACCCCCCGCCACCGCATCCCAAAACCAGCCCAGCTTGTCCCCGCCTCCCTAACCTGTCCTACCTCCCACCTATCCCCTCCTCCCACCTCAAGCCCCACCCCCATCTCCTACCTACTAACCTCATCCCGCCCCCTTGACCTGTCCGTCCTCCCTGGACGGACCTATCTCCTCCCTAACTCCCCACCTACACTCACCTTTACTGGCTCCATCCACGCCTCTTTGACCGGTCTGTCTCCTCTCCACCTATTTTCTCCTCTATCCATCTTCTATCTGCCTCCACCTCTCTCCTTATTTATTTCAGAACCCCCTTCCCCTCCCCCATTTCTGAAGAAGGGTCTGGGCCCGAAACGTCAGCCTTCCTGCTCCTCTGATGCTGCTTGGCCTGCTGTGTTCATCCAGCTCTACACCTTGTTATCCCTGAACTACCTGTCGCCTGCCACTTTAACACACCACCCTGTTCCATGGTCAACGTCTCTGTCTCTGGCTTGCTGCAGTGTTTATGCGAAGCTCAACACCTCATTTTCCGTTTGGGGACCCTGCAGCCCTCCGGACTCGATATCGAGTTCAATAATTTTAGGGCCTAAACTCTCCCATGTCCTAGCCCCCTACCCCACACACCAGGCCTCGTTACCACACAACCTGTCGTTACACACTACCTATTGTTAGTCACAGCCCCCATTAACAGCTATTCACCCTCCTAGCCAGATCGTTATCAACTCCTTTGTCTATC